CCAATTTAGGATTCTGGCACGGCGGCGCCACTATGCTCCAGCATCGGCTCCGCCGCCCACGGTGGTAATTCTCGTTAGCCTAGCCGGTTTTGGCCAATTTTGGCTGGTTTGGCACGTATCCCTACAGAAAAACAAGTCAGGGGGCTCAGTTGGCCAGAAAATTGAAAAAAATAGAACCTATTGGCAGTGGGGTCTCCGAGTGCGACGGCTCCGCTGGTTCTCCTTCGCGGCTGGGGTTTCTTCTTCAGCTAACCTGCACAGAAAAGGACAGTGAATACAATGATCGAAAAATTGTGTAAAATAAAAACGCGAAAACGGAAAAGGGCTTATCGGAGGACTTTTAGGGTTTTGGCCGCAGTGGCTCCGCCAAGCTTTACCCACGGTACCGGTCCCTTTTGCTCCGATATGGCCACAGAGAGACTTGAAATCGAATTTCGAGTGGGAAGAGGAAATTTTTTTTTTTTGGCGATCGACGATGGCTTCAGTGTGACGGTGGCCGAGGGTTGGTCTCCTTCTCCAGTGTTTAGTTCTTCTTCTCCGATGTCTAGTTCTTCTTCTCCGACGAGGGCAGGTGCGGTTAGGATTAGGGTTCCTTGAGACGCGATGTTTAAATACCCATCCCGCATCGATCTGGATTGTTTATTCGCATTGACGTGGTGCGAAAAGAGTCATCTGATTGTTGTCTATTTAGCCCGATTGCATAGTCAAATCTGAATCGTTCATCGTAATTGATTTCATCCATCTAGTCATGTCTAAAGAGAGAATACATCTAAGTCGTCTATATGCGCGGAATGTGATTGGGACTGTAGGATCGCCAGGCACGCGAATCACCCGCGTGGTGCCGATATCAGTATGTTTTGCCACGCAGCGTACTCTGATTCACCGTGGCTGCTGATTAGGATGTCACAGGTGACTTAATTTTTTATTTTTACAATTTTACCCTCTGTTTTCAAGTTTTCTTTTAAAAACACCCCTTTTAATTAAAATTTCACTAATTTTTTTTAAAATTATTTTCAATTTTGTTTCTATTTTATTTTTTTTTAATAATTTAAATAAAATTAAATTAAATTAATTATTTATATAATTATTATAAATAAAAAGAATAATTTCAAGTCGATTCTCGAACCCAGTATTACAATTAACACAAAGACAAAATGTTGAGAGTGAGCCGTAAAACATTTCTTTTACTTGAGCTATTTACAAAATTTTCCCTACACTTTCTTTGAGATACACAGAAACAAACAAACAATCCAAAAAATGCAATTTTCATTCCCAGTGACAAACAGACTGCCTTTAGCAGAAATGTTATTTATAATCTCCATGTATGCTCCAAAAATAATGAACTGAACCAATCACCAGATCAGAATGCTTCTGGCGGAGGACGCCCATCTAAAAATGACTTGAACAACACAAGAGATCTTTCAGGCTGAGAGAATGGAGCTTCATGAGATGCTCCTCTAATGGTTGCAAATGATAGGATATTCCCATAAACTTGAGTCCATCCACCAACCTGAAAGTGAAGAGTTTCTTCTCAGGATCTTTATGCTTAGTATATAAACATATTCCAGTAATCTGTATCTGTTTTTCATTTACTTCCATATATAATGCATTTCAACATGTACGTATGTATCTTGATTAAATCTAACCATGAAAAGGATATGCGATGATGACTAGATTTACTATACAATCACCCTAGAGTTAATCCATAACTGAGTGTTGAAAGTCTGTGGATAGTAAGTTCAACCTGTTGTTCCTCGAACCAAACTCTGTAAGGTATGGTGGTTTTAAGCTGTAACATCTCCGCCAAGTGACTAACTAACGTTCTGCTCCCAGTCAATGGGATTACAGAATCTTGGTCTCCACTGTTTCCATGAAACAAAGTAAAGTAACTTCTACAATTAATCTCTTCAAAAACCATGCGGCTCAAGTTTCTGCACAAACATGGAAGATTAAAAGCATTTTACCTGTAGACAAGAACTGGTATTCCGGCCTTAATAAGTGTGCCCACAATATTGATTGTAGGTATTTCCAGGTTAAGCAGCTCATAATCAAGGATACTGAGATCAAAATAATAGAAAAAGAAAAAAATTCAAACACCTGATACAAAACCTTACTAACTGTTGACAATTTAAAGAGATGTGGAGAAGTGAATATGTAACTGAATCTCCTTTTTCTGGAGTAATATTGCAGAGTAAGAATGAGAATATGATATAAATGAGATGAAGATCTGAATAAAAATTTAATTCTAACTTCAAATCTATTCTATATCCGATTCAAGTTAGCTATTTTCTAATTTTTTCCCTTGACAAGTGGGAATATAAATTATGCATCAAATATATAAACTGAGAGTAAATCCTACATATTAAATAATTATTGCATCAAGAAAATTATGCACCAAATGTTTTCTCTCAAAAAAAAAAAAATTATGCATCAATATAAATTATGAGTAAATTCAAGTTAGTTCAATTATATATCAAATATAAAATTTATAAGTAAATTATATATATATAAATAATGAAAATTAGAAATTCAATAGGAATAGGTAGACTCCAATAAAAACTGTTGGACTCTTGTAGTACTTATTGGGATCTAGACTTTGAGAATGAGAAAGTGACACCCATAATCTTCAGTTTAATTTCTGTTCTTTTTATTTAAATGAACAAAGTTAATTTATTTAGCTTTTGGGGAAGAGAATTACTTGCTGCAGACAGACCATCGACGAACTCCCACCAACCTAGCATGAAGAGCTTTCTGAACGTCTTGCCTGTTCAGGTAGTTCACTGTTTCATCTTCTACACAGACATCTATCGTCTCCCCAACTTGCTGTTGCATAAAAAGAGAACAGATAAGAAAATTCATTCTATGCCAGTAAGGAAGAGAAAATTCTACATAGGATTAAACTGTTGATCACCTGGGGACTAATAATTTTGGATTGGGAAAGCACAGATGATATGCAGACATCTAGAGTGACATCGTACTTGTCTACAAATCTACTGGTTTCTGTACTCACTTGACTCATCACCCTTGAGCATATAGGAGATATACTGCCCCTATAATATTCACTGACATATCGGGAATAGTTACAAGAAGATGTGAACATTTTGTATGTTGAATCTGAAATCAGCCCATGTGACCAAAAGAACTCTGCTCTTGAATTGAAATCAGTAGCAAACTCTAAAACTGGATTGCCCAACTGCAAATATAAAATAGGTCACAACAGGATTCTAGATTGAAGATTCTCCATGGAAGAAAGACGGTCCTCATATTTGAGTGTCAGTTTTGTTCTACTCACGGCTATTCCTTTCAAATTGAACAGAAACTCCTTCTTGTTGAATTGCAGCATCAGTTGTGCTAGTTGGGGTACATAGTGACCTTGTTTAAAACAAAAACCAAAGATCATTTACTGTAAATCTCAGCAAGAGATGGCATTTTGTAGAGTGACAATAGCAAAAATACCTGCATAGCTTTCTCCTGCTATAAACAAGCTTCTGTTTCTGTATTGTGAGAATTTGACAAACCATCTTCTCAAGAAAACTAGATTGTCTCTGGCTATAGATGGGGAGGAGAAAAAGACGAAAAGGTTCCAGAAATGGAAGTTAGTCTTTGAAAGTGAACTTTTTATCAAGTAGAGGAAAACAACAAAAACGGAACAGTAAGCATTGAACATGGCATGACTGTAAAGGTGAAGAATATGCAAACTTTTTCCTTTTTTCACTGAGAAAGAAGAATATCCAAACTTGATGACATGTTCTTGGAACCTTCATGTGAATGGAGTTAATAAAAATTCAAGAAAAGAAAGGCTAGAGATGAAAAAGATAAAAAGAAAAAGGGCAGAAGGAAGTTGAGTTGAATCTTGGGTTGGAAAATTGAAAATTACTCGAGCATCTGGGATTATTAACAAACATTTCTGTCTTTTATAGCAAGATGCCCAAATGAAAATTTTGAAACAAAAACAAGAAATTTTAAGATTAAAAAAAAAAAAAAGAACAAACAAGAATCATCAAATTGGTAGGTGCGCCCTACCAGTAATCTTATCATTTACACCCTCATAAGAAGAAGTATCAATTGAATAAGAGAACCCAACTCCAATAGGTGATTCCAAATATATCACATTGGCTTCTACAAAAGAGAAACAGAGCGTGTTAAAATCCAAACCCAGTAAAGATTTATTGAACAGAAAACAGTCATGAAAAACACATTCAATTGAATTAATTACAACCTCTGTTCCAGCTATACTCATTCTTGACCAGAACCTCCCCACGAGGTCTAAATGGTCCATTCTCAGAGAATGCACCAACTCCTAATGAGGAACACCCAGGCCCTGCAATCAAAACCCAAAACAATTCAAATTTGTTTCTCTTTCCACTTCTCTGTAAAAACAATTGGTAAGTAGATTTGTTAAATAACCTCCATTTAACCAGAGAACAAGAGGCTTGGAAATAGGATCTACTTCTGCTTCAGCAAAATAATAAAACAGAGCTCTCTGTTTCTTGTCATCAACATTGACATAACCCGAGTACTGCTGAAACTCAACTTGAGGTTGACCCGGTAATCGGCCAATCCTGTCAAGAACAGATAGACTGGACTCTACTACCATAAACTTGCAGAGCAGAAACAAGAACAGCATAGCCAATGCCATCATATGGAATCGCTGAGGAAGCATGGTTTCAGACCAGAGAAAAAAGAATGAGAAAGAGAGAGAGGTTGGAAAACTAGTAAAGGGTTGGACAGAGGGTATGCATTTTATAAAGGAAGAGCCTGATTACTTTATGGGTATTATAATGATTTTATTAGGGTTTTTTCTCTGAAAGAGATGAAGTGAGGAAGCGGGGTCAGAGAGCAAATGAGGGGTGACTGTTGAAGGAAAGTGAAAAGAGAGAGAGTGACTGCGTGGGGGGAGTTTTCAAAGCCTGGAAAAATTGGCATTTGGGTCACGGAAATTACTTGGATAGAATTCTACTGTTTTTGTCTTCTTGTGTATATACATATTGTGTTTTGTGTTTACATTGCCTGGAAATAAAATTTTTAATTTTATTAAGAATTTGGGTTGAACAATTTATATTTTATTCTATTGATTATTAAAAATTATGAGGATGTTATAGCTTTTTAACGTTTTTAGTTATCAAATAACATCTTTTTTGGGCGAAATATATAGAGATATATCATAGAAATTTTGCCAATAAGTTTTAGCATAATGCCTCATAGAATATCTCTTTCTCCAAGAAGATTTTAAATTAAGATTGTATTGTATTTACACAATTAACATAGATTACTACACAAAATAATGGCATGCAAGTTAAGACTTAGTCATTTGCTTATACAAAAGAACATGTTTTATACCTTATATTTTTTTTATAAATTTGTATTTTCATAGAATTACTATAAAAAAAATAGTAAATTTTTTGTAATAATCTATTTATTTATAAGTTTATGTTACCAGAAGATAATAGTGGTAGAAATGATAATCAATTTGATATATTTTACATCAATAATAGACAACATATCATATTAAGTCAAGATTCGTCCTAGTTGAACATTTACAAACCAACGAAAAGGTCGAGATAACTAATATGATCATTTTTTAAATACGAATACTAACTTGATAACGTTAAAGGTTTATGGGTAGATAAATTGATTGTCTATTATAAGCATATATGACATGTACCAAGTCAGTAATAGAAGAAATGTTCTTCAACTTAATTTTTAACATATAGATTCTCTTGTCAATAGAGATAGACATTCTTTCTTATAGAATTGGTAATTTAATAAGGGGTAATAATGACTTTTTGAGCAAGTTTTAACTTCTTAAAAAATTTCAATAAGTAATCTAACTTTGACAAATAACTTATAAAGAAAAAGTTGTTAAACTATGATAAAAGAATCAAAACAAGAGAACTTTAAGCTAGTGGCAGTCTCATGAAATGTCAAGGTATCAACCATATTTGAGAAAGTTATGAACTTAACAACTAGATTGGAAAGACTTCATAAGGTTCAAAGAGTCTTCACAGCCTAAAGAATACAAATTAGAAATTTGGATGGTAGAAAAGTATCTAACTCATGGAGCACTGAATAATCTCAGTAAATATTATCAATAGTTCCCTTACCATCAATTGTTTACTTTATCATTTGCTTTATTGGTAATATGTAATTTTTAGGTGTATTTTCTTTATGATAAAAAGAAATAAATAAGTTTGTCTACCAAATTATTTGATATACTTGATGATGGTTAAACGTCATTAAAATATATAATAACTCTATAAGAAATCTTCTAAAAGGAAATCTCAAGAACCCTTACTAAAGAGAAAAAAGTTCATTAAATCTCCTTCTACTAAACTATTTGCCAAAAGGTAAGTAGATAAAATCCTAAAAACTTTGGGTCCAAATTCATTAAGTTAAAATCAAAGCTTCGATAAGACTTAAGCTCCTATACTTATTATGTTGAGGGGAATGAAGATCAAATATATGTAAAAGAAGTATAAGAAAAGAAAGATGTTAATGGGGAAACTTTAAACATACAATCTTGCATCACACTATTACTCAATTATTTTTGTTCAAAGTCCTAACAAAGTACAAAAAAATGCACGTGAGT